GGTTCAACCTGTAATGTAAATCTATGAAAAATCCTACAATTTTCCATGTCAACAATCTTGCACGAGTAAAATTTCTATTTTGCTTCATTTTACGTCAAAATACTAACGGACGTAATTGTGTGTCATTTGAGTCGATTACGGACGTAATTGTATATCATTTGAGTAAAATTCCATGAAGTTTTCGAAGCGTGCAGTTCGCATTGCGAACATTGTTTGACCCATACAATTTACCCCACTGTGTCAGCTGATTAGATTGGAATCTCTGTCAGTCAGGCTTTTGGACACGATTTAACCACCAACGGTTGTTCATATTCTACCTGTGTGATTGTCCCAATTTTCGTGAGCAGATCTCGCTAAACGTGCCTGCCCGAATATATTCCTTATCATCGAACTAATTACGGACGCTACAATCTTCTCGACTCGTGACTTCACACGTTCAATGTTTGCTACATTGAAAACGGCATTCACGAGCGACATTGTAGGATCATCAACAAATTCCAAGACCCGTTATTTATAATTTTGTTCCGGTTAGGAATTTTGCGAATGGTTTTTAGTCTAGAATCTTCTTTGTCATAAATCTATTGTTTTCAGTAGCCCTCCGCATCACCCTTATGTCAATACCTGGCTAGGAGTTTGTTAGCGTTGGGAAGGAGGACGAGTCAAGCTGGATAGCAACCAGGGGCCTCATGTCTGACTCTTCATTTGATTTGCATGGATAGTCACATGACTCGCAGAATAGGCCTGAAACTCTGAAGTGAGCCGTTGAGAACAATCATCAGCGGAATGCCAATCGATTCGGATAGAAACTTTGGATAAGGTGAACAATGAGTTACAACATATTCAATAAGAGTTATCGACGTGGACATCGATAAGCGAGCTAAGAGTTTCGACAAAGGTACATTTGTATCATTCTTTTAAAAAGCAGATACGTCGTTTTGAAAAATCATCCTTGAGTTCAGTGCAGGGAAAGTATCAGAAACTCAAGTCTCACCAATGACCATGATCACGCTTGATTTTCGTAGACACAAATCAACAAGCAAACAACTGCGTAGTTATATTATAAGCGGTGATATCATAGCTCCGAATATCAAGCTTACAAAGCTGGTGAGTTTGAATTTTAAGAAGCTTCCATCGGTGAAGAGTACCTGAAGAGAGATAACAAACTACATTTTCACTTTCTAAGAAAAACGATATGCAATGTGTCATTTATGAATCGAGCCAACCCTTTCTCCGTTCCTTTTGACGTTGGATTACGTCTTTCGGCAACATATTGGGGTAGCAATTTCAAAAAACAAAATTGACCGCATTACGAAAAGTGGTCAGGTTTTGATCACATATAGCTCTGTCAATATTGGATGGATTTTAATTCTCAACAGGCCAATCGATTTGAAATTTTGCTACAAATCTGCTTAATTGAACACTTTATTAATTTTCAATATGTCACTAGGTCACATAGGTTCACGGAACCGAATTTTTTTTCATTTAAATCAAAAATAAAAATGTTCATTCTATAAACATATGAATAATTCAAAATAAATTAAAACCATGTTTGCAACAAAAATATATATATATTTGAATTAAAGTCAGAAGCATGTTTATTTCAACAATATAGAATTTGGGTAAACGATTTTTAGCGTGCCCTGCATTTTTTCCTTCTTGTTTACATTCGGAAAAAAAAATTGCCCCAGCAATTAACAAAGGGAAACGAAAATCCGAAATGGATTTTGAATCTATTCCGGATGCTCCAGCCCCTCCCACCCCCCTGAAAAAGTAATTTCTTCCTGTTTGCTTCGAGCTTTTGTCTTTGATCCTCTCTCCTGCCACAAGCAGATCCGAAACATGCTCCTCATTTACACCTGCCTGGTGTTCTTGCTCTTTCCGTAATTGCTCCAACTTCATCCACTCATTTTCCATTCGCTTCGAAACTTCAGCAAGCTTTATCATATTCACACAATCCTGACTCGGCTGATTAATTTGTTGGATCAACTTCTTACTAAAATCAATGCTGCATTCATCCTCCTTCCTTACCGAACTCAACGGTTTCTCATCATCCTCATCTTCTTCCGATTCCTGCATTTCCAATCCTACATTGCAACGGGCATTGCAATCAAACTGAATTCGGGATCTTCCTGCAGATCGTTTTTTCATCTCTTGGCAATCCATTTTTCTGCTTTATCTTGCATTCAAATGCTAATATAATTTAAAATTAAGTATGTTTCTTTCTAACATAAGAAGCGTGTTTAAAATAAACATATTTATTTTTGTTCGCATAATTGTTGTCAAACCAAACAAATATATTCACGTTTATTTTCAACACGAATATTTTTAAAACAAACGTAGCATTATTTTTATTTTAAACATTAATATTACATGACATCAAATATGGAATACGTTTGAAATAAACCTTGTTTATTTTTGTGGCTAGAACAAACTGAGTTTGCGTTTAAATTTACCTCAAATATTTTTGTTTCAACGATAAATTTTTCTGCGTGTTGCATTAGTGATCAAAACTATCACCAATTGCTTGCAAAAAGCGCATTTCCTAGCACAGCTTTCAAAATCGAATTCGATCCTGTCTCACTGAAAGGTGCATATTCAATCACCACAACGAAAGGCTGCCCGCAAGCACCGAGCTGTAGCCCACATGAGCGTCCATTACCGAAGAAGGAGGAAGAAGCCTCACCGATACTGATCGGGATCCATCTTCGTGACTCACGGTGGGCCATCTATGTCAAGCGCATCACCCTCGTTCCAAACAACTTACAGTTCGCCAGTTTCATCCGTTGAACACCCTAATAGCTCAGCATTGCTCAACCATCACGACAAACTGGTCCTTTTCAAGACCACCATAAACTTGATAAAGAGTATTTCATATGTTTAAATGTAACATACCATATATTTTTAAGGCAAAATTGGCAGTACAATTTCAGAATCCAGTCGGTTGCGGCATGAAAGTGGTCTGATTGTGATCCAGAGATGATGGATTTCAATTCAGAATAAGCAAATCGATAGGAAATTTTTCTACGAGTCTATTAAAATTAAGCATTTATCATTTTTCAAAATGTCGCTATTGAAAATGTGTAACGAATGTACAACTGTTGCTATGATAATTAAAATGGTCATCGGTTGTCTGCGAAAAGCGCTTTCCCTAACACAGATTTCAAAATTGAATTCCATCCGGTCTCACCGAACGCTGTTTATTCAATCACCGCGTGTGGTGGTGGTGTTCTCCAGTACACAACGAAAGGCTCCCCGCAAGCAGCTATCAAGGCTGCCCGCAACCGCTGATCGGATTGAGTTGCTCGTCGTGAGCCGCTGTGGGCCATCTATGCCGAGCTCGTCACCCTCGTTCCAAACAACATACAGCTCGTCAGCTGCATCCGTGTTGAATACCCTAATAGCTCAGCATTACTCAACCATCACGACAAAACGGTTCTTTTCAGAACCACCATAAATTATTGTTGTTTAAGAGTTAATTTTCATTAAACGTTCGCTCGCCTTGTTGCCAGCATCATCACCCCAAAGCTCTTTGATAATGTACCCAGCAATCAAACGTTTGTGGTCAGATGCGTCAAGTATTGAAGTGGCACATTAACAATTCTCGCAATGACCGAATACCACATGACCATGTCAAATAACCAGAAACACTTCGTAAGGTTTTCTTCAGGACGCTAGAAAAAGTAAAAAAATCTCGAATCTATATGATTTATCGCGGATATCTCGTGGTTGGAACAACAGAAATATTGATACCAAGCACTGAGCATGCCAGACGGTACCTTTCTTTATACCTTTTGATGCAAATGTTAAGCCCCTCCTATTAAGAGAATTATGCCAAAAAAGAGTTAAAAGAGTTAACTAAAGAGTAAGAGCTTAAATCCAAAGAGCTTTGAGTGTGTTGGTTTATTTCCTTTAAATTCCGTTATAATTGCTTATCTTTTGACAGATACGCGTATTTCGTCTACTACTTGCAGACTTCATCAATGGAAATTTGGAGACTGAATTTAGGTACGTGTTTAGGTAAATTTTGACATGGCAGTGGATACCTGCTGATTTTGAGTACCTATTGATTAGTATATAACTCGTATATAAAAGATGGATTCTTCAGTGGTGTTGAGTACTTGGCACTGATGAAGTCTGCAAGTAGTAGACGAAATACGCGTATCTGTCAAAAGATAAGCAATTATAACGGAATTTAAAGGAAATAAACCAACCCACTCAAAGCTCTTCATAAAGGGATTAAATCCAAAGCATATCGTCCAGGATTGGCTTGTACCTTAAAAACAGAACTCTCAAATTGCTTCCGAATTTCAACCTATGTTTCACTACTAACGAGCTAAGAAATCAATTTAATATTTACTATACTTTTGCTGTGACATCGAAACTACCCTTCGGAATCCTACGTCAAATCTACGGGCGTGTCTAGGATACAACCCCTAACTTTTTTTAATGTTGTGAATAGTCTCGCAATATCAAAGGAACTTGCAAAATCAATTTCAAGCATGATATTTTGTTCCAATATTGCGCGATATATTGAGAGCGTATGAGAGCGAAAAAATATCATTTTGCTTATGATTATGCCATAACTGCTTGAGATATTATGTCCCAAATAGTGGTAAACCTGATTGCCACTCACCTCAAAGGGCCTGGGTTCAATCTCAGTCAGCGCCGCTGGGATTTTCTGAGGCAGAAAATCTCTGATCACGCCTTCCTTCGTAAAGCCGTTCGTCCCCGGTCCATGAGTTGATGGGTCGATAGGTAGGGTCCAGATGTGCGAGTTGCCTCTCTGGTGTCGATAGCAGTACGGAAAATAAGATAGACAAGAAACAAATCAAGAAAAAAGAAGAAGATCGGAACGCCATTCAATAGAAGAAGAAGAAGAATATATATATATAAGAAAACAAACATATTTTGACCTGTCTAAAGACGATTTATTTAGAAATTGTGACTGTATTAAAAACGAGATTTGATAACTTAATAGCTACTTAAACCGACCAATCCTGCTAGCAAGCCTTCAAGCCATCGCCGATGCACGACGCGTATGCCAACATGTGCGGGATCGTGTTCTGTTCGTAGGTTCCCTTGAACAGGTGGGCCCACGGACCGGAAGCGTAAACGGCTACGTCATCGCCGCTGTGCGTTTCCGACTCGAGTGGAAGCGTTCCCGGATAGCGGAACTCACGCCACGTGGTGTCTTGGTCATCAATGTTCACTCGACCTCCTTCCGAAGGACTGACATGGTCGTAGAACCCAAGACCGTTGGCATAGCTGACCGTTTTGTACGGAAGGCCGTCGTTGCCAATGTTGTGCGCTCCCAGGATGTCCTGACCACGATCCTGATTAAACAGACAAATACTTCGTTACTCGTCATCTCTTCAAGCATAATTTCCTCCAGTACTTACCGAATATCCAGAGTACGTAACGGCATGCGAGTGATCCGAGGTGACCACAACGAGGGTATCCTCTTCACTGAACTTGCGCCGAACGAGCTCAACCGCCTTCGAGAATTCCACCGTTTCATCCAACGAAAGCCTTGCCCAATTCCGATGGTGGGCATGATCGATTCTACCTCCCTCGACGAACAAAAAGAATCCCTTACCACTGCTGCTCAGCACATCCGTAGCCTTGTCAACCATTTCGGCGAGCGTCGGTTCTTGATCCATCTTCTCCTGGATTCGTTCCAAATTGTACACGCAATGATTGGGATCAAACATTCCTAACAACTTATCGGTTTTCTTGGGGTCCACCCCCAGCAGATCATCGCGATTCCACACGTACGACCGGTTCTCTCCCTGCTTTGCCAGATTTAACCACTCGTCAATCAGATTCCTGCTGTCCTTCCTCTTTCCGTTTTTTCCAGTCTCCGGATCCTTAAACTTGTGCATAAACTCACGCCGGCCACATCCCAAAACGACCTTTAAGCCTTGACCAGTCTTTCCATAAATCAACTGGTGGGCAATATCCAACGTTACTTTCGGATCACATCCGTCCTTGGACACCTCGTTATCATTTTCACGATCCCGATTGGAAGTATGCGCATAAACTCCCGCTGGTGAAGCATGCGTTACTCTCGTGGTAGTCACCAGTCCCGCATCCTTGCCGGCATCCATCGCCCATTGGGCAATCGAAAACGTGTGCGTTGACTCGTCCAGTTCCGCCGTACAATGGTAGCTGGGAATCTTCCCGTTGACTCCGATCGTTTCGTAGTTACCTTTCACTCCGGTCAAGTACGCCGTCGCTGAACAAGCCGAATCGGGAACCTGTTTGTTCACGCAGTAAGTCTTTGACATTCCAATGAAGGGGAAATTCTCGAAGGCCAGCTTTGTGTCCTCACCCCCAGCATAGGCACGGGTCATGGCCACCGTTGCAACGGACATTCCGTCACCCATGAAAAGGATTACGTTTTTAGCAATGTTCCGATTTTCCCGCTGGCGCACGATGTTGTCGATCGTTTGCTGGGCATTGTTGAACCAGTAGTCTTCGCTGGATTGGCGTTGAGATTCTGTAATCCGGAATATATCGTAGGATTGAGGTCAAAACAGGTCCAAATTATCTGAACTTACCAAGTGGAACAGCTTGCGAGCTGCCGAGCAGTAGACAGCTCAAGATCACCAACTCGAAAGCTGACGGAGACTTCATGGTGAACGGTAGTCGGTTGAGTGCTTCCTTGGATGTGTTCCGAAATAAGGGAATGTGCTTTTTATAAATTTGGTTCCTTCAGTGGCTTCGCTGGAGATTATCACACTCTGATAGGGAATAACTGGTGGTGTAAAACCGAATTGGGATAACGATTTCGTTGCGGCTTCGGTGATAAGCGGTGGTCCATCTGACTGATGCGTGGGCAACTGATACTATGTTTGTCTAGACCGAACTATCTGCAGCTGCTCTATTCAACTAAAGTAATACGGAAACTTTGGTGGAATCAAATTGAAGAAATTTAAATCTTCTAAATATTCTCAGAAAGTCCTATGTAATTGCCTGATAAGCTTCCCTAAGGCAACCTCTAAACATACTTAAATCATTCGGCAGTATCGATGAAATAATGTGGCTCTCAAAATCTGTGAATATCTAGACCAACAATTCAAATAGGCGGAACAACCAAACGAAAACAATGGCTTTAAACGCAAATTTCTCAAGAATCAAAACATTCCCACGGAAACTAATAACGCCATTCGATAAATGAAGTTTGCTCTATGGTATGAAGGTATTAATTTGCTTGGGTGTGAGAAGATTGTAAATAGTGTGGCATCAGGCTCATTTTTTGCAATCAAAGTGACCGAACAAGGCTGAAAGGAAGCTCAAGTCTAGATAGAGCTGGAATTAGGGCGTACCAGCTTATGTAAACAATGGCTTCTCTCGTTGATTTCTACGAATTCATGGTACGCCTACACAAACCAACATATCCATCGGGTAGGGGAAGTCTTCCCCTACTCGATGGTGATGTCGATTCGCCAGGGTGAGCCATGACTTTCGAGAAATCATCGAGAGAAATCATTGTTTACAAAAGCTGTTACGTCCTAATTCAAGATCTATCTGGCGATTAATACACCAGAAGCAAACGATTTGCTCTGGTATTCTTCGGTGGGATCATCGTGCAGACTTTGTAGGCCGTCTACGTCATAGACGGTGGAACATGCTTCTAAAACTAACGGGTAAGTCCCATCAGTAGTCGTTCTTGAAACGTTGATTGCTAGTTATTTGATTTTTATTCTTAAAGTCGAACATCTTTCACTAGGAAATCTTCAAATTCAAACAGTAATGCTAAAAATGCAGAAATTTTTGTACCCATGATATAAGCTAAGTCTTAGGTCATAATTATCTTGCAAATAACATAGTATGTTGCAAACCACCGGTTTTCAACAGTGATGTCATGGTGGTTAGAACTGGGAACCCTGCAGGGTAACCAACTATTGAAAATAAACATTAGGGCCTCCCTTAGCTCAGTCGGTAAAGCCACAGCTACAAAGCAAGACCATCCTGGTTCGGTGGCTGGGTTGGCTGGGACCGATTCCCGGTCCGGTCTAGAAGTTTTTGGGGTTAAAAAATTTATCGACTTCCGTGCACTTAGAGTGTTATTGTACTTGCCACATAATTATACTAATGCAAAAAATTATGCAGGCATCGAAAGCTCGCAATTAACAACTGTGGAAGTGCATTTAGAACACTAAGTTAAGAGCACGCAATAAGCTAATATGCGATAAGCAATAAGCTTGAATTGTGAAGAAAAAGAAGAAGAAGAAGAAGAAGAGGTTTTCTTTATTTTCTACAACGCCACAAAGGGTAACTTTTCGAAGACAGGAACCTTCTATATAGTCAGGATGTTGAGTTAAAGAAAATTATTGAATGGCACACTAGCACTGCCTGGTGAGTGAATGCTGAACTACACTGTTAACCATATAATAGGTTCAGTCCATCTGAACAACTTTGCCCATGACAGGAGCGTTTTATCTAGTTAAGATGTTAAGTTAAAGCAAATTAAAAACGAATGGCACACTAGCGCCACCACGAAATAAATGTTTATCATATATTAGGTATAGTCCATCTGAACAACTTTGAACACGACATTAACCTTCTATCTAGTCATGCTGTTAAGTTAAAGCAAATCATAAATGAAAGGAACATTAGCGCCGGTGAGTGAATTCTCAGCTGAACTGTTTATTGAACTAAACTGAAACTGAACTGAGTTCATCTTAAAATAGGTCTGGTCCATCTGAACAACTTTACCGAAGACAAGAAGCTTCCATATGAGCAGTATCTGTAGATATAAGATAGCGCAACTTGATTATTTTAGTATTAGTGCCATCTAATGTGAAAATTTTGATTTTCACAACCATAGTTTTGAAATCCTTGTGTTCCTAAACATCTTTGCATAAAAAAGCAATATTATACATGGTTAGGATCTCGAGGTACATCGGTAGCATTGGAATATCCCATGAGTACATTTTTACAATGGACGGACCCCACGAAAGATCCACCAAAAAAAAAACTTTGATAATTTTAACCTAAATTCCACTTAATTAACTATGCACAACATTAGAAATTTCAAAAATTCAAATTGACCCAGTCAATTCAGAAAATTTCAGAGAAGTTCATAAAACTTTAGACATATTTCAGGAACTTCATGGAAATCTAGAGAACTTAAATGATGTTTAAACATTTGTCCAGCATTTTCCATTTACCTCAGAGTGTCAAAGAAGAACTTCAAGAGAATTGCGCGAACTTCAGCAGAGAACAGCACAGAACCTCAGGACGGTTCAATTAACTTCAATTAAATTACAGGACTTTCAACGTACACTTGAGCGAGAATTTCAAGCAAATTTCGGAATCTTCAGGGAAAGTTCCATGACCATCGGGAAAATAGCGGGAACATTTTATGGAAAGTTCCAATAACATCGGGGCAGTTTGGAGAATTTCAGAAACATTGCGGGAACTTCTGCGAAGACCAGAGAGCTTCAAGGCAGCCCCATTGATTTCAGAAAAAAAAAACAAGGGAACGTTCAATAATTTCCTAGATCTCCAAAGAACTTCAAAAATTTTTAGAGTCAGTTTATTTATTTTTAGGAAAGTTATGAGAACTTTGAGCAGGATCAAGAAACTTCAATGCACTTTCAATAATTTGAGAAAAACTGTATAGTTAGAATGGGAAATTCAAAAAAATTGGCGCTCATTAAAGCAGTTCCAGGCAAAAGAAGACAAAATTTTATTTTTGAACTGACCATCTGTGATTTGTATGAAGCTTTGCGTAATTGTTTGTTATGGATAATAATTCACATTTTTGCTTAAATTCGGCCACTTTGGATCTTATAAAATTATCAAAATAGCGACTATGAAATTTATTTAAAAAAAAATGTAGCACGGAAATAGCACTTCTGATCGAAACTCTTGGACAAACTTGGTTCAATTATGTGAAGTTTCATGGAATTCTGAAATTTGATTAGTTTTTCGCTATTTGGCCTGGAACTGTTCAATTACAAAATGCTTCAAAGAAGTTCAATGATCATAAACTTCGCGGCAGTTTCATTAATTTCACGAAAATAGTAATACATTTTAAGAAGCTTCCAAAATTTCAGGAAGTCCAGAAAACTTAAAAAAGTGTAGAACACTTTAGAAACATTTCAGGATTTCCACAGAAGTTGAGATAGCTCCAAGGAAGAACAGTTTCAATCGCTTCAGAAAAATCTTCAAGCTTCGAGGGAATCAGGGAAGATCAGAGAAGCTCAGCGCAAATCGGAAAACTTCAGGGAAATTGCAAATATTTTTCAGGGAAGTTCTGACTACTTCATGATTTTCCGAAAATTTCATAAAAATGGTGAGAATTTCTGGAAAGATCCATGAACATTAGGAAAATTGAGGAAACTTCTGGTGACGTAGGGAAGTTTACACCAAAATCGGAACTTACTCAGAGTGAGTCATTTTTACTCCGATATTAGTCACCTTTAATCATTCGTAAGGTGACATTTCTAGAAACCTAGGTCACTCAGCGCATGACTAACCTATGCTTTTAGAAATTTCTCCATACGAATGAGCAAAAGTGACTCACCCTCTAAGTTATAATTGTATTCAGTGTAATGATTTTAAAACAAGTTCCGTAAGCATCAAACTTTTGAAAATTTTCGGAAAATTGCAGGAACTTCCGGCAAAATCAAAAAACATCAAGACAGTTCATTTTTTTTTGTGTTTATTTAAGACACTTTACATCCGCAGATGCATTCATGTCTGTTTCAGCTAAGTGTAATGATGTGTGGGTGTGAGTGTAAGTGTTTATGGTTAATTGCACTTAGCTTTGTTCGTCTCCTTCTGGTTCTTTGTTGATCATTACATTTCATCTCTTTCACTTCTGCTTCTCAATTAATTTCACTTTTACTTCTTCTACCTTTTCTTCATCTTCTTTCTGCATCATCTTCGTTTTTGTTCGTAGCCTTCGTCCGTTTCTTGTTATTTTGTTGACGGGTCTCCTTCATCTTGCTGAATTGGCTGCGTCATCTTCTTATATCTTCTTCACTTCTAATCATTTGTTGCTTAATGGTATTCTTTTTCATTCACTATCCTCTTCTTTCATCTCACCATACTTCAAATTATTTTCTTTACTTCTTCATCATCTTCTTTCTTCATCCTTCTTTAATTCCATTGCTTTGGTTTCCTCTTCCACGTCTCCACGATTTCTCCAGATTTCCATCGGTGTCGTCTTCTGCATTTTGTTATTTTCCGCTTTATCTTCTTGATCTTCTTCGTATTCTTCCACTTAATCTTGCGTTCCGCCTTTACTTCATCATAATTTTCTTTTGATCTTCTTCTTCTTCTTTTTCTTCCATCCGCTATCCGCTTTGTATTCTTGATGACCTTCATTTTCTTTACTTGATCTTCATCCAGTTACATGTTTGCCTTCATCATATTCTTCCTTCCTTCCTTGCTCAGTTAACTGTTTCACCTTCTTGCCTCTAAACCGGGTTTCGGCTGCTCCATCTTCTTCACATTCTTCCTTCCTTTCTTGCTCCGTTATCTGCTTAATCTTCATTGCCATTACACCGGGTTTCGGCTGTTCGTTCTTCTTTTCTCTACATCCTTCAAATTTTTCGGTACAGTCCAGTTTGCCGAAGAAAATTCAGCATATTTGTGGTTTGCTCCTCAGAGTTTCCTAGCGCATCTCGTAAGCT